CCTGATCGAATATATATCATTCAAGTCTCAATAATTAGATCATTCATAAAAATAAGGAGTCCTAATTCCTTCCATAGTAGAGAGTGGCAGGGGCGGAGCTAGACTTTGGAAATAGGGGGGGCCTAGAGGTAGAGGNAAAATTTTTTTTTGATACGTTATTAACAAAAAAATCGAGAAACGTATAAAAGAAAGTATTAATCTTTAATTTAGCAAAATCATACTTTGATAACGTTGTATAACTATATTATAATTGGGCGAAACTCAGGTGAAAAGTTACTGCATTGGTCGCTCGAGCGAGCCTCTAGCGAAAGTGGAGCGAGGGTTGAGCAGTCGTCAGTATTTTCATCATAACTTTCTCTACCAATATCCGATTGTGATGATTCAAATTGTGTTGGAAAGCTAACTTGAAGGGCTACAATTCTTCTAGAAATAGCCATATCCAAATTCTAATGTTTTCGATGTGAAACATGCGTTGAAAGTGGTAATCACAAAAAAAAAAATTTAAAAAGATTAAAAAAAAATTTTTGGTCAAAAATGGGAGGGGGGAGCAAGGCACCCACCAGGCCCCCCCTTGGCTCCGCCCCTGGAGAGTGGACATGCAGTTCAACTGGCAATAAAAAGCTCTTACTGTGAGGAAAAATAGGACTATTTGGAGGAGTAGGAGTTGGTAAAACAGTACTCATTACGGAATTGATTAAAAATATTGCTGAAGTCCATGGGGGACAATGGGGATAAGCTTCATTGTCGAATGGGAAACAACCCAAATCACCAAGAGGTAGAAAATCGAATAATTGGCCCTATTGAGTATTGATAAGAACTGAGGCTTCCTCCCTCAAGGAATAATACAAGTGAGTCGAGCACACAATCCCTAGAAGCTTAGTAGTTGAAGATGGTTTTGAAATAATTGTTGCTTCAATCTCACCCTTGGCAGACAATCTTCAACAGCTTTAAATCTAGAATATTTTCTTTGCAGGAAGTCCAAAAGAGAGCCAAGCTCTTAATCTTCAAATATTCGACTGAAAATAGAAGACAAATACCGAATCATAAAGTTGTCGCATTGGCATTAACACAAGAACAACTTCAGTTATAGAACCTCAATACCTCATTCAAACACAAAATAAAACCTAGAATTTTTGGAGGCTTGGCCTCGTTCAATTTGAGTGGAAGGTTTGGCCAGATAAAAATATACAAGAATTATGCTTATTGTACACGGCTGGTTAACGATTTATTTGGTAGCATTCCTATGTGTAGAAAAGCTGGTCATTAATTGGAAAAAGTATTTTTAAAATCAATGTACAAAAATCTACTCGCCCACATGATGTCAAACTTGATGTAAAATATGTACATATAGCATGATTGAATTTACAATTGGAACCTAGTACACCCATTACATCCTAAAAGTAAATCCCAAGAGAAAACCTAAGGACTTACAAAGAACAAATGACAAGTCACGTTATCACAAAGAATCGAAGACCTTAGCTAACATTAAATCAAAAGTCTAAGTCAAGAACGCATGACCGGATTGTCAATTAGTGTTAGTACAAGATAAACAACACACTAGGCATTGTCACTAGAGTTGTGGTGGGCAAGAGTGAGTGCCTAACCAAATTTGATTCAATAGAAACCTAACACAGGTGAGCCCACCTTAACTAACTAGCCAATAACGAGTTCTAATCAGTACTTATTCCAATTCCATTTCATAACCAAATGATCAAGAAGAAAGCAATAACAATAACAAGTGGGTATTTGAAGTGCTCATGGGACCAACATTATCTATTGGTGCACAAATAACATTTGTCTATTTTTATGCTTTTTTGTATACTGAAGAATCTAAAGTGCTTGAATTCTGGTGGACTAGTTGATTTCTTCCATTTGGACGTATTTTACAGCTTTTGAGTTCTAGGATTTTGGAGATAGGCAAAAGCAGGTGCACTTTTTTATTTATTTTATTAAATATACGTGTTTAGGGTTTAGTGGACAAAGATTTTGAGATCTTTAGCAAAATACCAAGCTCGATATATGTCTCTTTCATGTTACATCCACATTATCCTTAGTACCCACCATCAAGATTAATCAACATCAAGGTATAGAAACCCGTGAAAGTGGTCTATTGTGTAAGCATATATGTATATACCTACATATAGAAACACACAAATATATGTGTCATTTATCAATTACACTAGATGATATCTCACTATGAGTAGTGTTGATGGGTCTCAATATCTTTGATTTCTTCACGTTTCTTGAATAGTCGAGATAGTGAGGAATTTTCAGAAAAGCAATTTTAGTACGTCGTTCTGAAGAAAAGAGAGATCCCAAATAGTCCATCTTGCTTTTAGTGGTTGCATCTATTAAAAATAAATCCCACATCAAATACATATAAATCAGATAAACAACATATAAGAATTTTAGCTACTCCTCTTAAATAAGTTAACATTTTAAAATGGAACGCTAAATATTCAAGTGATATTAGAGTCCATTAAACTTCAACGAATAACTAAATTCGACTAAGACTCAAAACGAGCACATGAATTTTAAGATTAATGTGTTTTGATAAGTGCATTTTGTGCACTTATTCGAACCAAATTACTAAGTTTTTATGTCGTCAAAGTGTTAAATTCTACGTAACTTAGATTGATTTTCTTTTATTTCAATATTTGATCTGTCTCTCTGATCATTTGGAGGAGAATGGAAGGAAAGAATGATAGTTTTGCAACTAGCTTGAAAGTTTGGGGACCAAAGTGAAAATATTCAATAGTTGATTCGAACCACAAAATGATAATTGAATATCATGGAGGATCAATTGGATGGAATTGGAAATCAAATGAGTAAATTATAGTCAAAGTATTTTCACATATCGATTTCCAGCTTCACAAGTTATGCTCCATATTTTTTTACCTCAAATTGAGACTCATTTTTGACATAGAAAGTATTCGAATTGGAAAATCAATATTCAAGAAGAACTGTATCCCTTTGCTATCCAATTCACTTTGAATCACCACTATCCGATATCGAGAGAGAAAATTATGATAAAAATACTACAATTAACATGAATTGGGCGACTCTCTAGTTCTACAAGCGGGCGATCGCCCGAGTCGCCCAGGCCATTCACGGCCTAAGTTGGTATTTTTATTTTAAATTCTACTCTAACAAGGACTCCTTTTCTTGGGCAATTTTTTGGACTTTTTGAAGACTTTTGAAAGACTTTTGAGAGGAGTATAAATATACAACTTATCAACTCTAAGTTAGAGGGGATCAATATGCCATTCCATTCATCTAATATTCATCATAAAAATTCATCTTTCGGAGCAAAAACTAGGATTTTCATTAGAGAGCTCATCCGAGTTGAAGATCAAGCCCGAAGATGGAGTTATACTATTCGATTTTCTTCTTCCTCGGCTTATGAATTCTATCTTTTTTATTCATTTTTCTCTCTTTATCATGTTAGGCTATATTATTTTTGTAATAAGATTACAATTAAACTTATATTATGAACATTTGATGTTTGAATCTTATATATTTTTGACATTCAAAGCACGTTTTCAATTTTTGAATGATTGACATGTATTTAATTTTCTCTACAATTATATGCGCAATAGTTGTATGAGTATTGTGACATATTTTACTTTTGAAAGATTGAAAATAAGTTAGACATAGTGTCAATTGTTATAAAGTCCGATAGGGAATAGAAATATACTGCTATACTCTATGTGATCTTTAACTATTTATAAATCTTTAATACATTCTTGTATATTCGCATCCGTCATAAAAATGTAGTCATGTTACATATAAGGATAGGCTTAATTCTATTCAAAAGAGATTGTTAAACAAATAAGGAATATTGATCTTCATAATTGAATCGTATTGTCAAATTCACAAGGTTCCGAATTAAAGAGAATTAGTATCCTAGTACGATTTTTTTCATCATCATATTTTCATCAAACTTGCATTTAATTACAACTTTGCATTGATTTTCGTTAAGTTAGGTTTCACATTCAAAATCTATTTTACTACTTGTTAACAAATCGTGCACTTGCTGTATTTCAAACGAAAAAATATTTTCATGACATGCTCAAACGAGTCATCATCTTGCAATGTTATGATTTTACTAATCCTGTGAATTGGACCACCGTGAAGCACGATTATTTTTATAAATAGAACAACTTAAGCTAGTGGAATTAGCTATGCAAATTGGACTATATAATTCAAAAGCAATATGGAAAAACGTGGATATATATTAAAAGCTTTCAATAACTACTTATTCAAGGTGACATTATTAATGATGTTGAGTGTGCTCTATAGTTTTCATGAAAAAAGTGTAATCTTTATAATTCAGAAATGTGTCAAGTTGCAAAAGTTGATTTGATCCCACCTCTCTGAAACTACACTAAATTACCATACCAAGACTGAATTACTGCTTCTCGTCAACAATTCCCCTTTTACGCAATCCTGTCGAATCACTAAATCCAACTTTCTTCACTGCTCGACAAGTGGGTCAACAATTTCCCTTCTACTTGGTACCATTAGATCACTAATCCCAACTTTCGTCCTTACTCGACAAGTAGATATTGCAGTCAAGCTCCCTCCCGCCTTCTCAAATCTTGAATGAGCTATTCCAGCACAAATGACCTATCCTCTCCAGACCAGGCAAACTGATTATTGTCAATTGTCATTAGCATTGTGAAGAGATTTTGAAGGAGATTAGGATGAATGATTACTGGGGCCATTATAATTAGTGGGCTTTTTCTAGTCCACCAAAAAGTAAGAAAAGAGAATATATTTGCCTAATCTTGAAAAGTTCTTTTCAGGGCTATTATTACTTGTTTATTACCAAAGTTGCATTTAAGTTATATTACTTTTCAATCTCAAAAATATCCTCTCTATCCCACACTCAAATAGCATAACATAGACTCCACAAATATAAGACAGTTTGCACAAAATTCTCTTGATATTACATCAAACTGAGTTTTAGGTTTGTTTAAACAAGACAAGATTAATTGATGGAGGCTCCTCATTCTTCAAGCCCTTCTCATCAATATCCCCAAGCAATTCAGCTTAAGCTTTACCAGGCTTTTATATTCTCAATTCCTATACTCTTCTCCATCATTCTATTTCTGTTATTCTATTTGTTCTACCTCAAGCGACGGGCTTCGAACTTTTCGGCAGCTCCACCGATTCTACCGAGGACTATTCACGACTCCACACCTCACGTTACAACGGTAAGAACCACACGTCCCGTCGATCATTCATCTTTCTATACAAAACTCATTTAGAAGTTCGAGTATTTGATTTAAGTCTTTAACATACAACCTTAGTGGCGAAACTTGAACACATAACATTTGCTTGCTCTTATATATACTTTGTTGTACCTGATGATTTTCTTGTTCCATGTCCAGTCATTTGATTCGGATTTGAAAGCCGAGCTGAAAAACCAGCTTTCCACAGTCTTGTTTGATGAATATCTAAAAGCGAGGGATTCACTGTAAGTACTCGACTAAACAACTCAAAAAAAAAGGACTTTTAGCGACCAAATTTGTCGTCGTTAAAAGAGAAATTTGGTTCCGTTAGTGGATAAATCAATCATGTGCTAATGCATTGATCATAACTATGATAGAATATGGAAATTGACGATTCAGGTTGATTGTCGATGAGAATTTGAGACCTGAAAGTGCCCCAGAAAAGGACATTTCCCTATACCCACTAATAGGCCTTCACTAGTTTATATTCTTTTATATAATGATGATGGTTAATAGTAGCTTTAGCTAAGGTTGAACTTCATGTGTTACACGACATGAATATGACTTAGTATCTAATTCTTTGCCCGACACGCTTGATCGTTTATGTATTATTTACGTGTCGGGATTCTTTCTTTATAAATGATTTATAAATTCCTTCAAAGTCAAATATTAATTTTATCTACACTTTTCATGGGATTCGCTACCATTGCCAAACTGAGTCTAAGACGAAACTTTCATTTCCACGTGCGCTTGCTTTATCTAGACGATCTTACTAATTACTATTAAAGAGCGACAATGCCAGTCTTAAAGTCTAATAATTATGTCACTCAAATGCCATAAAAGTTTAGCATCCTCGCACTAGTTTTAAAGTCGGATCATGCAAATGCGTTTTTAGATGATACTATTTTGTAGACGAACTCTAACTCTACCTTGCTAAGGGCGGCGCTCTATATGATTTTTAATTAACTTGTTTGGCTAAAAAATGCAGCATCCACCCTTTCTCAAGTTGCTATTGAGACATTTTTCTTCTTTTATGTTTCTCATGAAACTAAAGAGAATTAATTGAATGATGTTAATTGATAAGATGAATATAAATTATAATTGCAGGTGTTGTGTGTGCTTGGGAGAATTTGAGATAAAAGAGGAATTGCTTCAAGTGACAACGTGCAAGCATGTGTTTCACATAAACTGTATTCGACATTGGCTTCAATCCAATTCTACTTGTCCACTTTGTAGAGCCCTTGTTCCAGCCGCCTCATAACGAAATTCACTGCACGAAATTGTACATATCGCGCAGGCCATAACAACTACAATTTACAAGAGATGAATTGAAATTGAGGACAGTCAAGTGCTTGCTAGCTAGATATATAGTAGCAGCGTATGTATATTCCCACATATTCCTATCAATACTTCGGTTTTCAAGACCGACTCTTTCAACCGCTCAGACATCTATTCCCTTCAACCCGTAATTGCAACGATCTAATTGCAAGAGTGGAGCTCTATGATGCCGTTATACCCCGATTATCAGATGTGGTTTGCAAAATCATGCAATCCCTTTACCCCCAAATTAATATTAATTAGCAAGCCAGTTATACAAACTTTCCAAGTCTTGTTCCTAAAGATTTGTTGGAGTGGCTTTTTGCCAACAAAAAGAGAAATATCTAAGATGGCTTTTGTTTCCGAGAAGAAACAATGCTGAAATAAGATAAGAGTCAATTCTTTCTTAAGAAATAAAACTATAAAAGTAGATAGAAATGTTCGACGATGAGTCGAGAATCAAATCCTTATTTCGACAATTAGTTAACTTAGAATTTCTTAAGATGTTGGTGCACTCAAAGCAGTTCAAGTGAAACATACATGTTTAAAAACACAGGACAGCTGAAAACGCTGCATAATCAAATTCACCTGCTGAAACATGAAATACTTGAAGATCATTTTATGAGAGTGTTCTTTATTCAGCGCGAGCCAAACTCTGTAGCACATGCTCTAGCTAGATATTCTGTGATGTACTTTTGACTTGGAGAGTCTCCAACCTTCATTTCCGAGGCTGTATCCATTTATTTTAATGAGAACCAGTTACTGTTGCCTCATGAAAAAAGTAACGGTGAATTATAGTGTTGAATTTACCGGTCTGGATTCGGCCACTTCAACCGAATGACTAAAAATGGCTTATTAACTTTCAGGAGTAAAACAGAATGATCAGAAGAAACGAGCGACTGTACAAGCAGTTCACCAGCAGGGTAATCATCATTCTATTCAACAAGGTAACAGAAAATGATCCCCGAGTTGTCCCCAGCCACCGCTTAATTCTTCTATTATTCTATTTTCTCTTGCAAGTAGACTTGAAAACATAAGTTTTTATGCTCGAATTCATAATGAAACACCTCGGTGAATGTAGTTAAGTATATTTGCAATGTGGTGTTAAACTCAAAGAGCAGCATATGAGCACAAGGTCATGAAGAATTATAGGACATAATATACCTTCTCATCTAATTAATTGAGAAGTAAATCAATTTTAAAAAAATTTGTCCGAACCCATTCTGTTCTAGTTATGTGCAGCCTCTTTTATCTCATCTTGTAGTCTCTACGGCTCTATCCCATGGAAGTCTGGTGACGAGCAATTTGCACACACTTCCTCTGATTCACAAAATTGCAGAGTTGTAGCCTCCGTGCTCATCAAGCTTGGTTCAAAGACAATCTCTCTGATAGGAAAGAAAGCAAAGATTATTAGCATTTAAATCAAACAAAGTCTCAAAACAGAAAATTGAAAATAAATTCATAACTGAAAATCGAAATACAAACCAAGTCGGCCCTAAATTTCACCACACACCCGTTTTCAATCACATATTCTTCTAATTTTTTTATTTTTTTTTATTTTATATTTTTCCTTACTTTTTTCCACTTTTTAACCAAGTATTCTAAATTACTTTTTACAAAATCATTTCTCAAAAAATCAACTTCAGATAAGGGCTTAATTCCTAAAATTTCACATTTTACTTTAATGTGTGTTTGATGTACATTAAAATGGAAAGAATGCATGTTTTTTGTAATGTGATGGTAAATATGTGGTTGAAAAGGAAGAAAATAGTTATTGATGTGATGGAAAATATTATTTTATTGAAAAATGTGTGATTGAAAATGAGTAGAAGAATGAGAATGAAAATGAGAATATGGCTCAAACAAGAGTTAAGGCTATGTTTGGTATCAGTTCTCATTTTCAACAGTAAATCAATTCTCATTTTCAACCACACATTCTCCAATAAAATAATATTTTCTATCACATCAATAATCTTATCTTCTTTTTCAACCACACATTTTCCATCATATCACTATTCAA